TTTATCCGAGTTTGTGGGTACGGCTTATTTTCGAGCATCGGGCGGATGCATTTCGAGCTTCGAAGTAATTGAGTGAGTTTACCAGGCGGTAGTTTGACGGCTTCTTCAAGACGTCTATATATCTATCCTAAGCCCCACGACAAAGGTTCTGTCTAGTCTGATGGGCCTGGATCAACGGGATCGCTATCTGGGGACCGAACTTGGTGCGCAAAAGTCAACCCACGGACGGTCTGAAGTGCACAATTGCTCGTGGTAATGTGTGCTAATGGCTCAACGCGGGGCTCAGCGCATGGGATTAAACGTTCAACGTAAAGCTATTTACTTCGTCGAAAACAGCAATCTCCTTCATCGCTCGCACCGGGCCTCGATAGCTAACCTCGATGCCTGCACAGTACTCGTAACTGTAATGAACGTCCAGAACTCGTGCAGCAAGCTCCTCCTGGATGTGCTCATTGCTTGGCTACCTTGATTGACAATGTGGAGTAGTGAGATGTCCACGTTGTCGCTCTGCTGCTCAAACCACTTCATTCAAATCCGACGCTTCCTTTGGCGTCCTTGGGTTTGATAATGATCACAAATAGCTGCATGAGGCGCTCTAAGCGGATATCGCCACGGGTTCAAGCAGGAGGCTCTTCATACTACGTCACTGTGATTACGTCGTATAGGCGCGGCTGCTGCGCACGCTTTTCGCGGTTCGCGATAACTTCAACTTGAAACCGTCGTCCATACTGGCCGCGTCTTCTCGCTTCACCCTCTCTCTACAGAGTTGTCGTCGAAAGATTCGGTCGCATACGCTGAGATTCCATCCTTGGCCTTCTCGCAGTTCCATGAACCAGTTCAAAGCGTTGCATCGACACTGTCGGGTCGCTTCCGACGGTTTGACACGCACGCGACTTCTCTCTGCTTCGATGCCGTCCCGAGCGAAGGTCCACGTCCAACTTCAAGTCGCTTCTGCGTGGTCTCTACCCTCTCACATACAGTCCCTGCCACCTCTGAATTTGGATTGTGTCGTCACGACAACAGCAAACTCACGTGTCGGTGATGGTCGTCTCGGTTCTCCTGGCCATACGAAAAGGATCTTGGCGTACTTCAATCGCCAAGAAATTTCAGAGCACCGCCTTTTTAGCCAATCCAAGGCGCGTATGCCCATGACACTCGACTTTTGTCCAATCAGGTGGAGGCAGCATCGGCAAGCGTTTCACACCCGAGCGTCGCTTTTTTCTACTTTTTTTCTATTTATCATACAAACACCGAGTAAATATTGTCCTTTGCATTAAAATACTACGTGTTCGCTGCGTTCCCGCATTCTCAAATTCCCATCCTTCCGCACAACATGGCATCATCTTCCTCGTCTACCTCTGCCTCTCGATGGAGCTTCCTGCCGTCGACGTACTCCCTCCATGCATGGCTGCCTGCCACGACCATTGCCCAAGCGACGCCGACGCCATTCACCAAGGACGCCGACGTCGACGGCTGGGTCTTCCTCGGCAAGGAAACCGACATCAAGAGCTTCACATACGCCGACGTCGCCGCCGGCAAGCGCGAGCAGGTCGTCGACGAGACCAACAAGGACTACGTTTGGCTGCCGACGCTGCCCGATACGACGCGATAAGCGCCGCTCGCTATATATCCAGATTAACTTAAATACCCAGAAAGAGTAAAGACGACTTTATATAAGAAACACACGCGATGGCACGAATCACACCTCGGTAAGGTACGCGGGCGGAAGGTACCGGAGCAGCTTCTCGGGCACGAGGTCCTTGACGTCGGCCGGCGCCGCTTTGTGGAGATCCATGCGCTTGAGGATCTCGCTGTCGTCGTTGATCTCGAACGGCCCGCTAAAGTTGAAGAAGACGTCTTGGCGGTCCTCCGACATCTCGCACTGGATGACCGTGTCCTTGCTCGTGTTGACGAGGATGAACGGGAGCGCGATGCGGCTCTCAGCCGTCGTCGCGTCCGCTTCGTTGCGCCGCACGAGGTTCTTGAGCGCGATTTGCTACGTCGACGATATGGAGCACTACAACGTAAGAGGCGGGACGTACCTGCAAGAGCAGCTCTTGGAGCTGCTGCTTCTTTTGCTCGATGCTCTTGAGCCGCTGCGCTTTCTCCATCTAATGATCCAATAAGTGCAAGCATCAGGCGGGTCGTACGGTAAGGAGCTCGAGGTCTTGCTTGGCGTTCGAGGGCAAGCCGCGCCAGCGAATCTCCTTCTTCTCCTTGGAGATGATGTCCATGGCCATGAGCACGTTGAGTGCATCGTAGACGCGGCGGCGGATGTTTTTCTCGTCGTACACCTAGGCGGTGCGTGCGTGGGATGGAAATGGAAGCGAAGATGAAGTGTCTACCGAGTCGGACGGTCGCATCGTCACAAACTCGTGCACGAGCTCGTCCGCCACTTCGTTGTACGACGTCACGTGCTTCTCTTCGACCTTTTGGCACACCTTCATGCTAAAGTGACGCAGGCCCTTGCTGCCCTTCTCCGAGACCGCGCTCGTAGCACTGGCGCGCGGTGTCTTCTTCTTCTTGGGCGTGCTACGCCAGGCCAGGATAGACGATATGATGGACAGCAAGTATCGAGAGGTGTACGGCGTTGGAAACGGCAGCGACGGCATCGACGCATCGGCCTTCTTGAGCGGCAGAAACGACTGGTTCATCGAATCTACTCACGTCCATACACCATGCACCATGCTGCAACGCGTACCCCACTCGCGCTTGAGGTCGCGGAACTGGCCGTCCTTGAGGAGACCGGCGTCGGTGGCCATTTTCTCGAGGCCTTGCACCTTCATCAAGTTGATAAAGTCGTCGTGCAGGCTGCGCGGCGTCGCCGACGGCTCGCTGCTCGCCGCGACGCAAGTGCTTGCCGGCACCGCGTCCGCCTTGGCCTCATCGTCATCGTCGTCCTCATCGTCGTCCTCATTCTCCTCGTCGTTGTCGTCGTTCTGCACGGGCTGCGGAAGGCTGCGCTTGGGCGCCGCTCGAGCGGGTTTGGCCTGCGCCACCGGCGTCACCGCCCGAGCAGGCTTGGTCTGCGCCACCGGTGTCACCGCTTGCGGCGCGAGCTTCGCCGTCGCGGTTGCCTTGCGCGTCTTCTCAAGCGCCGGCGCCGAGACGAACTTCTCGGCCACGTCGGCCGTCTTCTTTGCGCGTCCTGGGGCCATGGATGGTCGGTCGCTCACGGCAATCTTACTGAGCTCACGCGAGCGTATTGCAGGTCTCCGGATACGCATGTCATATCCGAATACGCGGCATGTACGATGTACGAGACCGTTGCCGTACCGACTACAGTGGCCAAGTCACACAGTGGCCGCCACTAAATTCGGCATAGATGCCACTTCCAAGGTGCGATCGACGTCGCTAGAACGCACCTTCGATATCACTCGAGCGAGGCGCACTAGCATTTTGTATGCAACACAGCAACGGCCACCATAGCATGCACGTCAACAAGAGCTTTCTCCACTGCTGTGCCACACACCACGACTTCAAGGTGGCATTACATGCCGATTTTAGCCACCACCAATGTATGTGTACGTCTTCCCGTACATTATTGTACGAACTGGCAATGTACCTCGGGTCCCAGCTCTGCCACGATGGACCAGCGTTGGCGATGAGCTCAGGCCGACCCACTGCCCTTGTCATCCGCAGCGTCGTCCTTGCCCTCGCCCGCGTCTTTGGCGTCCGCTCGAGCTACCGATTTCTTGGGCGACGGCGGGCTAAATGACTGAAGCGACGGAAGGATGTCGAAGCGGAAGCCCGACACGTCCAAGGGCATGTGGCCATCGTGGTTCTCTCGTCGCTACATCATCCATGACTCTATTGCGAAGGCACTAGATCTGCGCACCGCAAGGGCTTCCATGCGCGACTCTAGGAAGCGAGCCATGGGCGCCTATGCGCATGCCATAAAGCCATCGCAGGCTGTGCCATGGTACTTTGGTAAACGCGTAGGCGTAATGCAGCGCCGAGTTGCCAGCCATATCCTGAGCGTTCTCGTCGTGCTGAGGATGCTCGACGAGAACGGTAGCGAGCGCGACCTACGCCATCATCGTCACGGCGAGTGGTCTAAAATGCGTCGACCACGCACGCTGCCCGAGATCGCGGCGAGCATGAGCGGTGTCACGCCAAAGTCGTCGGCCAAGTGGCTGGCTCGTCAAGACCTCCAACGTCAACACAAACATTGATGTCAAATGAACGTGCAAAGGATATCGAACGCTGCATCGGAGCGTTGCAGAGCGCGTGCAGGACGCGCACGTAGCGTCTCTCGATCAACCGGCGCTGGGACTCGCTGACGTCCTTGGCCTTGCAGCGGCGAAGAAACCCATCGACCTGCGAGTGTTTCCGTTGCATCCAGCATCATCGCATTGCAATCGCCGTGTACCGCAAGGTGAAGCGCGTTGCGCCCACAACGAGGTGTCACAAGGTCCAACGCTGCCGGCTCGTTCGCAAGCCAGAGCTGCACTGCGTCCAGTCGACCGTCGCTCGAGGCGATCCAGCCGCTGTCTTCCATGGCCTTCTTCGTCTTGGCATCGCGGGCGATCATGAGCGGTGTCCGGCCTTGCGTGTCGAGCGCGCGCCGCATGCGCTGGGCGTCACAGTCCCAGGCACCCAAGTAGCGCACGATAGGAATCTGCCCCGCCTTGGCTACGACCTCGGTGAGCCTTCAAATGCATCGAGGTAGCCACACCGTACCAGCGATGTGGAGAGCATTTTGCTTTCGCTTGCAGACGGCGGCAACATCGCAGCCATCGACGTCGTTGGCGAAACACCGGACGACGTCGAGAGCACCATGGAGCGCAGCACTATGCAGTGGCGTACAGCCGCGGTCGTCGCGTGCGTTGACGTTGGCACCGAATTGCAAGAGAAGGCGGACGCTAGGAAGGCACCCGGCAGCCGCGGCAATGTGCAGCGGAGTCCTCTTTGTATTGGAGACCGCATCCACATCGATCGCGTCGCACATGAGTAGTTGCCCGAGCATGTCGGGACCGTCCTCGGACGCGTTCTGCGCCGCATGCTACCGAGGGACGCTGCCAGCGAGCGATCGATGTAGTGCTGTCGTACGTGGAGTGGGGTCCACCCGTTGGCATCCGCTGCATTCACATCGTGTGCTGGATGCTGTGCGAGCGCCATCTCGAGAGCATCGACTGTCCCTTTCCCGGCAATCTGCGGCACCATGACCAGTTTTAACAAGGAAGACGTCACATACATACCTTGTGCAAGGGTGTTTGCAGCAGCGAGCCCGAGAGAGCAATATTAGTCGCGTCGTCCTCGGCGTGGTCGGCGAGGTAGATGGCGGCGCGGGAGCGATCAGATGACACATCCAACCCTTCGAGGCCTGCGAGCACATCTAGTGAAATACGCGTCGTCGTCATGTTGCACAACGGCGACACGGACGCTGGCGAATGGCTTTGGAGGGTGCGGCGGCCAAGACCGTGCGGACCGTCTCTGGCAAATACGAGCGCCCACAACCAAGACGAACACACGCAGAAATCACGTCCCGCTGGCCACGTCGGGCTGCGTAGCCCAGTGGTACTTGCCCTGACGTGTCTAGAAATCAAACCAGTTGCCAGTATGCTGCGTTCGTCTCCAGTGCATGATGTATTATTGTACCCAATACATCGAGCTGCGGCAAGTGCGAT